GAGTCGCAGGTGATGACGATAGATGACCCATGATTCAGACCCATATAAAAGAGTAGACAATACAATGGCTCTGTAGACACTGATCTTTGTACTTTTCTTCAGGTGTTTATTACACCAGACTCTTTTATGGAGTTTTCCAAAGGCACTATATGCCTTTGCTATTCTGTTGTCTATCTCTCTGTCGATCGTGGCATCCGAGGAAATGATGCTTCCCAGATAGCTGAACTGCTGAACTGTCTTAAGCTCTGACTCGCCGATGGTAATATGGGGATGGCGATAATCTTCTTGGGGTGCAGGCTGGTAGAGGACTACTGTCTTATTCAAGCTGACTTCCAGCCCAAAAACCTCAGCCGCCTCCGCAAAGCAAGATGTTAAACGCTGCAGAGCTGCTTCTGTGTGGGCAACAAGGGCGGCATCATCAGCAAAGAGCAGTTCACGGACAAGATGGTTTAGGGTCTTAGTGTGGGCCTTCAGTCGCCTTAGATTGAATAGGCTACCATCGGTACGATATCGAATATAAATGCCGTCTTGTTCGTCGAGGTCTGCTGTAGCCCTTTGGAGCATCATGCTGAAGAAGATTGTGAATAAGGTCGGTGCGAGAACGCAACCTTGTTTCACACCATTGGTTATTGGGAAAGGCTCAGAGAGTGCATCACCATACCTGACTTGGCCTTGCTGATCCTCATGTAACAGAATAATCATTTTCAGGAACTTGGGGGGGACAACCTAATCGTTCTAAGATCAGCCACAAGCCTTTCCTGCTCACAGTGTCAAAAGCTTTGGTGAGGTCAACGAAAGTTACGTATAACCCCTTATTCTGTTCTCTACACTTTTCTTGCAATTGTCTGAGAACAAATACCATGTCTGTGGTACTTCTATTAGCCCTGAAACTACACTGACTTTCAGGTAGAAGTTCTTCTGCGATGGCAGGTACTAGTCTGTTCAATAGTATTCTTGCAAGAATTTTACCAGCAATGGAGAGCAGAGTTATACCACGGTAGTTTGAGCAGTCTGACTTGACACCTTTTTTCTTATACAGAGTGACGATGATTGTGTCACGAAAGTCTGACGGTATTTTGCCTTGTTCCCAACAGCACACAACTAGCTCATGAAATTTAGCGTGGAGTGCTTGGCCTCCATGCTTCCATATTTCAGGTGGGACTCCGTCAACCCCAGCTGCCTTGCCAGTTTTCACCTGCTGTATGGCCTTAAGAGTCTCTCCCATGGTAGGGGCTAAATCCAATTCGTTTTTCACCGGATGTTGCAGAATGTGCTGGATTCCTTCGCCTTGAACTACACGATTAGCACTAAAGAGGGTTTGAAAATGTTCAGACCAGCGATTCAGGATGGAGATTTTATCTGTAAGAAGCGTTTGGCCATCTGCACCAAGTAAGGGGCTTTGAACCTGGAATGTGGGTCCATACACTGCCTTCAGAGCCTCATAGAATCCTCTGTGGTCACCCAAATCTGCACATAGTTGAGTATTTTCTGCTAGGTTGTGCCAGCACTTGTTCTGGATGTCTCTAAGTTTCTGTTGGAGTTTGCTACATGCAAGACGAAAGGCTGCTTTTCTTACATGGCAGAGTGGCTGAGCGAGGTGTGCTTGATGAGCAGATCTCTTTTTTGTCAGCAATTCCTGGACCTCCTGGTTGCTATCGTCAAACCAGTCTTTGTTTTTCTTTGAGGAGAACCCAATGGATTCTACGGAGGACTGAAGGATGCTGTTTTTGATATGTTGCCAAAGCGCTTCAGGAGAAGAATCTATAAGTTGGTCTTCAAGCCTAGTTTGAAGGTTAGCCTGAAAGCTGTCCCTCACTGCAGCTATTTGAAGATTATCAACATTGAGCCTCTTCCTTGGAATGCCGCCCCTCTTAGGTTTGGGCTTGAAGTGGAAATTAAGTTTGCAACGCACAAGGCGGTGGTCTGTTTGGCATTCTGCACTAGGCATCACTCTGGTCTGGCAGACATCATGAATATTTCTCTGGCGCACTAAAACATAATCAATAAGGTGCCAATGTTTAGATCGTGGATGCATCCAGGTTGTCTTCCAGCTGTCTTTCTGCTGGAAGATAGTGTTGGTGATGGTAAGCTGTTGCTCTGCACAGAACTCTAGTAAGAGACGACCGTTATCATTGCAGTTGCCAACACCGTGCTTGCCTAGTACTCCTTTCCAGGCTTCAAAGTTCTTTCCTACTCGGGCGTTGAAGTCACCAAGGATTATGATCTTATCTTCTATAGGAACTTTCTGAGTGAGGTGACGCAGGTCGGAGTAGAATTTTTCTTTTTCTGCAGGGTCAGCTTGCAGAGTTGGAGCATATATGCTGAAAAGAACAACGTGTTGCTTACTGTGCAGTGGAAGACGTAAGGAGATAATACGGTCGGAATGACCTATCGGCAAATTTTCAAGTTTGGAGGCTATGGAGTTCTTAATCATGAAGCCGACTCCAGAAAGATGACTTTCAGTTTTGGGTTTGCCTGACCAGTAGAGTGTATAGCCAGCACCATGTTCTTTGAGGCTACCTTCCTCATGAAGGCGAACTTCACTGAGTGCAGCGATATCGATGTTAAGACGTGACAATTCATGGGCAATTAGCGCAGAACAGCGCTCAGGACGCCCACTGTTCACTGTATCAAGCATGGTTCTGATGTTCCAACATGCGAGTGTCAATCTGGACACACCTTTGGAGGCAGGTGTATGCCTTTGTCTCTTTGTTTTTAATTGACCGCAATAGAAGATGCCCGTTGGCCGCGTCTAGCCAACCAGGTGGAGGGGGAGATGAGCTTTGGTTAGGCCACCTTTTCTAGGCCTCTCTCCATATGGAGCAAGCAGTGCTGTCCTTGAAAAAGGCTGCTTGGTCATTCAGGATGCTGCCGAACAAGACTGTCATCTCCTGGGTCAGACTTGAGCGACCAATGTCCTGAACCGCCTGCATGCAGGGTTGGGTCTGCGACTTCCAGTGCACCTTATCACCTGCCGTTTCGTCCCTCGCCTGTCGCTGCAGGGCTTTGCAAGTGTGGGTAAACCCTTCGGGCCTGCGCAGTGGATTTATTTTAGGTGAGGCACAGCGTGCGCAGAACTGGCCTCACCCTTTACACCTGAGGTTTATCTGCCAGGGCCTAGCGAGCTTGGACGGTGACAGCAAAGTCCTCAGGTCGTAGGTTTAATTAGAGTATCCTTCTCTTAGATGGATGGCCTTACAGGGCTACACGAGCTCCATCTGCCCGGGTTTGAAGTTGGAGTTGTCCTTCTCCTAGGATGGTTGCCTGAAGGCTAGTGAGCCCATCCTGCCCATGGACACACTTTGTCTGACCCTTCATTTGAGAGCTGACTGGCATGGGAGACCCTACCGGAAGCATAAGCCACCACCAGCATAACTCCCAACTTCACAAGGGCACGCAAGCTCTTTCCCCACGACAAGGGGGTGTCCGTGAAAGAGTAGAATGTATATGAATTGTGTATTATGAATGTATATGAATATGTGTAGAATGTATATGAATTATCAGATTAAGATAGAAGTTCCTGTCAATACAATGATGAAAGAAAAGAAGAAACAAAGGAATAATCCTTCCTAATCAAAGTCTTTGTTACTTTAAGGGGTACTTTGTTTAACTACTTGAATGTCTCAAATGCTTTGCTTATTACAGAGGGTGCTTTGTTTAACTGCTTGAATGCCTTAAGGGGGTTAGGTAATCAATGGATACATTCTGTTACGGGATGAGGTGAAACTTGTGTATTGAATAAGTAACTATATAAGAAATGGAATTGAGGGGGCTAAGATGGTGGTTAAGCTTGTGACAGAAATCCCCTGTTAATGTATTGCCAAGGAATTCAATAACTTTTTAAGAAGTTTCATCACCCAAAGATAAGACCCCAGCAACAGGACGAGAACAACAAAAAGGAACCACGTTGGTATTTGGGTGAAGGAGACGACAGGATTGGCTGAAACCCAAGACCAAGGAGTATAAGAGACTGTACCCCAGAACTCTCGGTGTGCGTCTTGGGTGCAGTGGACACTCCCCGGCGCACCCAGCGCTGCTTGCTTACTGCCTCTCAATTGCAACAAAAAATTAATTAAATCAGATCACGGCCAAGATCGAATTTTTATAACATAAATATCGTCCAATATTTGCAATAAATGATCCAGCTTACACTCTAACTCTGGATCCGTGCCTCCATACTCACATAAGAGGATAGGCAATTAAGAGAAACAATTCCAATTTGATCTGACTGTGAGTCAAAACATTTCTTGCTTGCCGGACCCACCACAGCCGACAGGCGGCAGAGCCATCACGGACGAGGCCCAGCGGAACCTCACCCTGAGCCAATCCCTGCCTTCCCCCCGGACCTTGGGCCTGCACTTGGCGCGAACCTTGTCGGGCCCCCTCACGGCCTCCGCCATGGCCATAATCTGCAGCACCACCAAGCCGCAGCCACGGCTACTGCGGGCGGAAGCGGGGGAAGATTGACACCGCCCCCACCCGCTCCCCTCCAGTCAGCAGCGCGGTGGCTACGTGAAGCACGGAAGGACTCAGCACAGAACGCAGAGCTGGGAGCCAGAGCATGGCCGCCAGGCCTGGGTGAGGCAGGTCTCCTGTCAGGAGGGGAGCGGGCCTGGTGTAGGCTCACACATAGGCTCAGATATGGGAAGGCCAGGTTCCCTAGTAAGGGTGTGGGGGGAGGTCGGACTACACCATAGGATCCTGTGGGGAGGCCGGGCCCCTCCGTAAGTGTTTGAGATGAGGATCGGCACTCCTATAAGGGCCTGTGGGAAAACAGAATCCTTTATAAAGTGCTGTGTGGAGGCAGAGCTCCTCTACAGGAGCCTGGGAGGGAGGTAAGTTCCCCTACTGAGGACCAGATGGGAAGCCAGGATCATCTGTAGGAACAGGGAAAGAATCCAAACTTCTCTATAAGGGGGTGCCCAGGGTCCTCCTAAAAGGACTGGCAGGGAGGCAAGGATCATCTATAGGAGCCTAGGAAGAGGCCAGCTTTTCCTATAGGGACCTGTGGAGGGCCCAGGCTCTCGTATAACGCCCCCAGGGCAAAGGGGGGTGGGGAGGGAGTTTCCTCCATAAGAGTCTGGGGCAAGGCCGGGTGTCCCTGTAAGGGTCTGTGGGGAGGTCAAGCTGCTGCTACAGGGAATGCGAGGTAAGAAACCAAGCCCCTACTACTGAGGCTGGGCAGTGTGAGTTCTCTTCTTTCTACTTGTGCCATAGCAGGACCCAGAAGTGCCAACAGAGCGGGGCAGCCTGTGTGCAGTGCCTGAGACATCTCCAGCCACAGCAGGGCTCCAGTCTCAGCCTGAGGGACCAGGCATCACTGACCCTTTTGATCCTTACTCAGGTGCTCAGCTGCCCCAGGGAGCCACCGATGGAGCCCAGGCCATGCCCCACTGGAGCAGAAGTGATTTCAGCCAGTCCCCAGATGGATGAGTCCCTGCAGAGCTCAGTCCCTCCTCTCAGAAGACATTGTAGTCAAAGACCTAATGATCTTGAACAGGTAATGTCCACTCTCTTAGGCCTTGTATTTTGGCCTTGAGTAGACCCTTTGTTATCAACATCATCTGTCATTTATAACACCTGTGGGAAAGGTAAATTTTGTGTGGGTCAAGGCAGAGATGATCCTGACCAGGAGCCCATTGCACATTACAGAGCTGGTGATCCCCTGAGCAGGCACAGGGCTGGTCTGCATTGCCCAAGCCCTGTGTGGCTGCAGGATGAGCTTTGCCAACTCATGGTAACGGGGTTCATGGGCAGCTCCTGCCTGATACTGACAAACCAGCTGCCTGACCCTGCCTGTATGGATGGAAATGCAGCAATAAGTTCTCATGTAAACTTCCTTCATGACTAATGCTGCTTTCTTGTGATGCTTTATGTATTAGCTCATAGCACCAAAACGGAAGAGCTCTAACTCCACCTGAGGGCACGATGCCCAGCATCTGAAGGGACATAAGATTTACATGCTACCTGTATCCCTCTTCTTATTTTGTCTTATTAAAGCAGCTGTGACCCATATGTCCCTGGGGGGGAGGCGGGATCTGTTCAGCTGGTTATCAGGGTCTCTTGATAGGCCCTTCACTTCTATGGGTGTCTGGGAGGAGGACAGATCCCTCTAGAGAGGCCTGTGAGGAAACTCAGCCTGACTCTAGGGGCCACTGTGGAGGCTGAAGTCTTGGTGTGTTCTGTCCCAGAGCTGTCGTGGTATTGAGCAAGTAGGAAGTAAAGTCTGAGGAAGGATATGCTCTTGTAGGCTTCCTCCCAGGAGAAGGAACCTGAACATCCTAGGGTGCTTTGAAGGTGTACCAGTCCTAGCGTAGACAAAAAAGTCAGTATGAGATCTTTCATAAGAAAGATAGCCACCACACAAGTCTCAAAACTTAATCATAAAAGATGTGTGTGAGAACTAAGACTACAGCAGGGTCCTTCAGGAGAAAATTTTTACACTTGGTCTTTCAGAAATGAAAATGGACAACCAATTCCTTGGTATGTGCACTTTCCACAGTCCATTGTAATGCATCAGGAGAGATGTTTAAATTCACTGCCGTCTTCTCCACAGAAGGAAATACAGGAGAAGCCTCACCACCTTAACAGGAAAGATTTTCCTCCTTGTATCCAATCTAAACTTCCCCTGTTTAAGTTTGAACCCATTACCCCTTGTCCTATCACTACAATCGCTAAGGAAGTGTCCCTCCCCAGCATCCCTATAGGCCCCCTTCAGATACTGGAAGGCTGTCATGAGGTCTGCATGCATCCTTCTCTTCTCCAGTATGAACAACTCCAACTTTCTCAGCCTATATTCATATGGGAGGTGTTCCAGTCCCCTGATCATCCTCGTGGCCCTCCTCTGGAATTGTTCCAACAGTTCCATGTCCTTTTTACGTTGAGGACACCAGAACTGTACACAATACTCCAAGTGAGGTCTCACGAGAGCAGAATAAAGGGGCAGGATCACCTCCTTCGACCTGCTGGTCACACTCCTTTTGATGCAGCCGAGGATACGGTTGGCTCTCTGGGCTGCAAGCGCACACTGCTGGCTCATGTTCATTTTCTTATCGACCAGCACCCCCAAGTCCTTCTCCGCAGGGTTGCTCTGAATCTCTTCTCTGCCCAGCCTGTAGCTGTGCCTGGGATTGCTCCGACCCAGGTGTAGGACCTTGCACTTGGCATGGTTAAACTCCATGAGGTTGGCATCAGCCCACCTCACAAGCGTGTCAAGGTCCCTCTGGATGGCATTCCTTCCCTCCAGCGTATCAACCGAACCACACAGCTTGGTGTCATCGGCAAACTTGCTGAGGGCGCACTCAATCCCACTGTCCATGTCAGCGACGAAGATGTTAAACAAGACCGGTCCCAACACCGATCCCTGAGGGACACCACTCGTTACTGGTCTCCAGCCGGACATTGAGCCATTGACCACAACTCTTTGTGTGCGGCCATCCAGCCAGTTCTTTATCCACCGAGTGGTCCATTCATCAAATTGATGTCTCTCCAATTTAGAGACAAGGATGTCGTGTGGGACAGTGTCGAACGCTTTACACAAGTCCAGGTAGATGACATCAACTGCTTTACTGCTGTCCATCAGTTCTGTAGCCCCATCATAGAAGGCCACCAAATTGGTCAGGCAGGATTTCCCCTTGGTGAAGCCATGCTGGCTGTCACCAAGCACCTTGTTGTTTTTCATGTGCCTTAGCATGCCTTCCAGGAGAATCTGCTCCAAGATTTTGCCAGGCACAGAGGTGAGACTGACTGGTCTGTAATTCCCCGGGTCATCCATTTTCCCCTTCTTGAAAATGGGGGTTATATTTTCCTTTTTCCAGTCGTCAGGAACTTCACCTGACTGCCATGATTTTTTAAATATGATGGCCAGTGGCTCAGCAACTTCATTTCCCAGCTCCTTCAGGACCCGCGGATGGATTTCGTCAGGACCCATGGACTTGTGCACGTTCAGATTTTTAAGATGGTCTCTAACCAATTCCTCCCCTACAGTGGGCCCAAGATCTCCATTCTCACAGTCCCTTCATCTGCCTTCCAAGACTTGGGTAGTGCAGTCAGAGCCTTTGCTAGAGAAGACCGAGGCAAAGAAGTAATTCAGAACCCCAGCCTTCTCTAAATCCTGTGTAGTTAGTTCACCCGAGAGCTTCCTGAGGGGGCCTACGTTCTCCCTAATCTGTTTTTTATTTGCTATGTACCTGTAGAATCCCTTCCTGTTATCCCTAATATCCCTAGCCAAGTTTAATTCTAACTGGGCTTTAGCTTTCCTAACCTAGTCTCTAGCTTCCCAGACAATAACCCTGTACTCTTCCCAGGCTGCCTGTCCTTGCTTCCACTTTCTATAAAGCTGCTTTTTCATCTGAATTTCCCTCAGCAGCTCCTTATCCATCCAAGGAGGTCTCCTGGCCCTCCTGCTGCACTTTCTTCTAGTTGGGATGCAACACTCCTGGGCTTGTAGCAGGTGATCCTTGAAGACAAACCAAGAGTCTTGAGTCCCCTGTCCTCTAGGGCTATATCCCATGGAACCTTACTAATCAGGTTCCTGAAGAGGCTGAAGGCTGCTTTTTTGAAGTCTAGGGCAGTGAGCTTGCTGCACGCTCTTCTCACTGTCCTAAGGATCTCAAATTCAACCATCTCGTGGTCGCTGAATCCAAGGCTGCCCTGCAGTGGCACATTTCCAACAAGCCCTTTCCTGTTGGTGAGCACAAGGTCAAGCATGGCACTTCTTGTCAGTTCCTCTATTACTTGCAGAAGGAAATTGTCTTCCACACAATTGAGGAACCTCCTGGATTGCTTGTGTCGGGCCGTACCGTCATTCCAACAGATGTCAGGGTGGTTGAAGTCACCCATGAGAATGAGGGCCTGTGAGCGTGAGGCTTTTCCTATCTGCCTATGGAGTGTTTCATCCGCAGATTCCTCTTGATCAGGTGGTCTATAACATATCCCCACAGTAATGTCTCCCATCGCTGTTTTCCTTTTAACCCTAACCCACAAGCTCTCTGCTATCTGCTCACCTGTCCCCAGTCAGAGTTCCATACACTCCAGCCTATCCCTAACATAAAGGGATAGTCCCCCTCCGCGCCTGCCAGGCCTGTCTTTTCTAAAGAGTGTGTAACCTTCCATTCCAACACTCCAGTCATAGGGTCCATCCCACCATGTTTCTGTGATTCCTATAATGTCATACCCCTCTAGATGAGCACACATCTCTAATTCCTCTTGTTTGTTCCCCATGCTACGGGCATTTGTATAGAGGCATCTGAGCCGAGCTCCAAATGAAGCCAGCTCATTGGCTGGAGCAGCCGGAATATCTCTGCATTGGTCCAAGCATTTATTATAGGTGCTGGCAACTGACTGGGTGTGTTGGGATGGAATGATGCCCCCCTCCCCCAACACATCTAGTTTAAAGCCTCCTTAACCAGTCTGGCAAGCCTCCTACCAAAACTGCCCTTCCCCTTCATTATCGGACCAGCTCCACCAGGCCCTGCTAGACCTGGCCTACAAACTTGGGTCCCATGTTCAAGACACCCAAACCCCTGACTGTGACACCACCCTTTTAACCATTTATTAACCTGGCTAAACCTCCTAGCTTTTTTTAGGCCCTCCCCTGTATCGTGGAGAATAGACGAAAACTGTCTGAGCTCCAGAGCCCTTAACCAGCTCTCCCAAGGCTCTGTAGTGCTTCTTTATGTTTCCCGGGCTAGTACTATCTATATCCCTAGCACCCACATGTATCACCAGAAGTGAGTAATAGTCCGTGGTGCTTACCAGAGCAGGCAGCCTCTCTGCCACATCCCTGATCCGTGCCCCTGGTAGGGAACACACCTCCCTTGAGACTGGGTCAGGCCGACAGACGAGTGCTTCTGTCCCTTTCAAAGTAGAATCTCCTACCACTACAACCCAGCGCTTTTTCCTGGCAGCACCAGTAGAAATCTTTACTAGTGCATCGCCAGGCTGTTTCTGGTGCAAGTGCATTTCCTCATGAGCCCCCTGCAGGACAGCAAAGCGGTTCTGCGTGGGGGGCAACAAGTTCAGGAGGAAGTCCAGTGCTTTTAATTACCCTTTTCCTCCTTTTTTTGTTGTTTTTTGTCACCAATTCCCAGCTTTGAGAGCTAACAACCTCCTTCTTTCCTCCATGAGCTACAGGGGAAGCTTGAGAACTCTGCACAGTTTGGGCAGGGAGCAAGCATTCCTGTTTTCTCTCAGCTACACTGACATCTTGTAGCCTATTAATAGCTTCCCGCAGCTCAGCCACCTGCTGCAGGAGCACCTCCACCAGGGAGCACCCAGTGCAGTCCTGCCCGTTGCGTACCTTTCCCTCACCAGACCAGTGCAGGCACTCTCTACACCCCGAAGTCTGCACTGCAGCCTCTCCTCTCATCGGCTCTGTCTGGGTGCTTACGGTGGCCACTGCCGGGGCAGCCAGAGCAGAGCTCCCAGACCGGGCCCTGGTCATACAGCAAGTGCTCACCATCCCGCTCGCCTGCCCATGTGAACTGCCGCGGAAACTGCCTTGACCTGCTCTGTTTGCCGGCTCTGTTCACCACGCTCCTGGTCGCTCGCGCTCCCTGGGGCAGATTTTTAACCAATCAGGGCTGGCGCCGTTCCTCCTGGCTCCGCCCCCTGTGAGTCAGCTGCTCACGTCAGCTGAGTTGCCAGCTCCTGGGCAGGTCCTGTCGAGGACTTGAGGCTCCCTCGGTAGCTCTTGTCGCTCTGAGTTGAGGCTCCTGGACGCTGATCTCCCCCGCACCGGTGTTCAAGGCATCCTCTCTCGAGCTACTCTCCTCAGCAATTGACCAACAACCGTTAGGGATGCCCGGTTTAAATCTGCCGCCACTCCTCCTCAAACTCCAGGAACAAACTCGCCAAGTTTTCAAGCTGACAAGCATGTATTCTTTATTGCGGTGCCAGGAGACACGGGGATAGCTCCACCTAGGTCATTTACTTCTTCCAACAATCTTCATCACTTCTGGCAGCCTTTGAAGCACGCACAGTAGACGCTCATACCAGTTTAATTGGTTCATTAGCACCAGAGACATAATAATCCTCCCATCCTCCTACTTATCAGTTAGTTTAACTGTAGCTCATCCTGGACACCTGCAGTTCCCAGATACCCCTTATCCCTGTGTCCTGTTTTTCTAGGCTGTTTTATCTTAAAGCTGTCAACTATAACGATGTATATTGTGAGACTTCTCAGTATGTTCTCTAGCTGCACTCTCTCTCTATATTTTTCTCTATGTATCCTGCACCTCAGTAATTTTCCATTGCTACCGTTACAAAGCCATCAAACTTAACATTACTTAAAGCTACTTCTAAAGATTTCTATATCCCATCTTGTAATTCTGTGCCCCCCCCCCTTGTCTCACTACTGCAGTTCAGGATAATGGCCACACCGAATGCAGAAGCAGGTTAATGGGTAATAAGGTCACTACTTTGATTCTGTTACTTTGAAAAGGTAGTGGAAGGAGAAATAGTAACAAAAAAAAAAGTGGAAACCTTAAAGTAGTGGGACCTTAAATTCAGAAGGCAAGCCAAACACACATACACGAATAGCTGCAACATGTTCTGCTGCTTCACTGCCAGAGAACACAGAGAAGGCAGATCTGTGCCATCCTGGAACCCTGCAGTGAGGAGCAGACATCCAGAGGACCACACTGCCATGTAAAGGCGTTTGGGTGCTTTTGCCTCACAAGCTTGGCGTCCTCTTTCTGTCATTCTTCCTGGATCTTCTCCACTGTGGTAACTCTCTGCTGGTAACTCCTGCCTTTGAGACAAATCACACTGTCATCTGATTAACATTGATTAAAAAGACCCTTTGAATACAAGGCAGTACATGAAAACTGAATTGGCAGGGATGTCAGGGAGAAAGCAGTAATGAGTGAGCTCAGCTATGGATGGGCACTGCAAGGGAATGCAGAGCTGTACAGGAAGTTAGAGGGCCATGCCACAGCGAAACGGTGAGAAATGGGAAGTGGGATGTGAAGCCCTGGTATGGCTCTGGAGTGACTTCCACCTCTGCTATGCTGGGCATGAGTTTCTCAGGAGCAAGCCCTGACACAGGAGCTGGAGTTCCCTCAAGAGTGAAACATGCCATGGCTTCACAACCCCTGCCGCAGGAAACACTCCCCTCACCCTCCAAAGCCTGCATTTCCACACTCACCAGAATCTTCCAGAGATGATTTTGTCTGCGCCACCTTGAGGAACAGCTGTAAAAACTGGTAGAGAGAAGAAAGCTACAAGAGAGTCGATATGCATCACCAACAGAACTAAAGCCCAGCTAGAGACCATTGCTGGCCTTTCCATCTTATCCCCAAACCCAAACTGGGAGAAGAGTTATGGGACAGGAAAGCTCCAAGAACATACACCCTTCCTCCTCCTGTCCCATAGCCACCCACCTCTGCATACCTTCTCCGGCTGCTTCTGTGTCATCACATTTGTGTTGTGGGTTACAACTTCTTCCACCTCATCCTTATCCCTGCAGAGCTGCTCATAAATGCGCTAGGCCTAGGAGAGCCAACAAACAGGGCAGGAGCATGTTAGCAAGCAAGGAGTTGCTATGACAACTCATGCAGCTAGCTCTGGAGGAAAACACAGCCTCCAAGTGAAGAGGTGGACAGAGGCTGCCAGCAGAACAGGGAACAGCATACAAGGCCTTCAGCGCTCTACAGCTTGAGCAAAACCGACCTCACAACAAAAGCTGCACTTCATTTGGCATGAAAAGCTCATAGCAATCGAGTTCTTGACATCTAAGTCACCCTTATCCAACTGTGCAAGGCTGCTACTAGCCGTGTCCTTGGTGTACTCTTCAGTTTTTCAGCGTACACTATACAGACTTAAATGTGACGGTCTTCCTCTGCTGCAGCTCTTGATGTAGTGTCTGCATGAGTTGCAGCAGAGGAAGACCCTCATAGTTAAGACTGGGCCAGCACTGTGCATGTATGATTTTAAATCATACAGCAAGAAAGAGCAGCTTGTTTGCTTTACCGCCATGGTCTTCTTGTAGTGCAGATTCCTGGTTTTGTGAATTGCCTCCGTTATCAGCTCTTATCTGTGAAGACAACAGAGCTAGAGTGAACACGTCACTGACCATCGAAGCTCCACGATGGACTATGTGTCTTAGGAAAGGAAGAGGCACAGGCCAAATTCAGATGGCCGTAAGGACCTATGTCCACCCAAAGCATCTTCACAAAACCCAACATTTATACATCTTGCTAACCCTACACCTGTCTATGCAATGGAACTCTACTAATGAAATCCACCAATATATAGTACTGTATCATCTCCATAGAATCTAGGAAAATTGGGAAGCCCACCCCTTTCTGCTATGTCCAAATTTGCAGCACTTTTCCCTCATTTTTCAGACAAAGGAATCTCAAGCCAGAAGAGGTTAATGGGATTCCCAGTTTACTAAAGTTGGACATCACGGAACACTATATCTATAAAGAGATATATATGTGTGCTTTAAGGAAATTCCTGGTTGAGGCTGGTATCTCTGGAGGTGACCCCTGCGATAGCCAGCCCCAGAAGGCACCCAAAGGAGAAGATGTGGCCGTCAGATGAAGGAAGTCAGAGGTTCAGCAGCAGAATTTCTACATATAGGAAGGAACTCAGGAAATCCCAGCACCGGCAGGCACTCGGAGCATGCAGGGTGCTGGGGCATGGTGGGAGAAACGAGGCAGGAGCCAGGATCCATCCCCAAGGATGGTGATGGATCAACACCCTGACCTTCTTCCGATGCAGTTTTTGCTTTTCCCTGAATTCCTCCATTTTCTTTGCTTCTTCCCAAAGGGCTTCTGCCAACTAGATCTGACCTTCGCCCACACTAACTCTGCAAAGAAAAGAAAATTTCATATATACATATATATACACATAGATACACATAAATTTGCATATATATATATACACACACATACACACATACATGAAAAGACTGTTGGTCAAATCACCCCCTATAGCTGACATCAAACCGACCCCAGAATACACCTCCATTTCCAGAAAAATATAAATGCAGCAGGAATTTTGAAGCGGCATCCAAGCAGCATTAGCTATGTCAGCGTCAGTTCTGCTGGGGGCCTCCTTTCAGTTTAAGAAAACTGGTATCAAGAAGTTCTCCAAGCAAGCACAGTCACATCTGCCCCTCGCCCCAAAGAATTCAGCCAGGTTTCGACACACAGCAACCTGAAGCAAAGAGTTGCCCCAGCTTAGCACAGAGTCAAGCTGGGCCACAGAAAAACTGATGCTAAAATACCCTCAGGCTCATCCTGCTGAAAGTGAGTGGCCATACCACAGAACAGCACCCCAGCAAGTTCATCGAGGGCCATATGCAAAGTGTAGTTCACACTTCAAGACCCAGAGCTGTTTCAAACCCACACCTATCAATAGCCAGCTGCTTCAACAGCAGAGCCATGCTGGGGAGGTACCTGAAGGGTCAGGGCAGCAGACATACGTGGCTGTGGCTGAGAGTGCACTCAGCACAGGAGAGCAGAGTGCCAGCCCTCGGGGAAGGGATGCTGCCTGCCATGTGTACATGGAAATGAAGGGACAACGTAACGTGGCCAAAGCATCATCTTGCAGATGCTCTGATTAGAAGTGTGGAATCATTTAGGCTGGAAAAGACTTTTAAGATTACTGAGTCCAACTGTTTACCCTACACCGCAAAATCCACCATAACCGTGTCCCGAAGTGCCACATCTGCACATCTTCTAAACACCTCCAGGGATGCTGACTCCACCACTGCCCTGGGCAGCCTGTTACAGTGCTTGACAACCCACTCTGGGAATAAATTGTTCCTCATATTCTGTCTAAACTTCACCTGGTGCAGCTTGAGGTTGTTTCCTCTTGTCCTATCCCATGGTACATGGGAAAGGAGACAGACCCCCACCTCACAACCTCCTTTCAGGTGATAGAATCATTGCAGTACAGTCCCTAAATCCTGGTCAGGGCCTAGAAAAGTCTGGGAAATTCAAGTGTTAAACATGCATCACAGGGCAGAGGAACCTCTGGCAGATCCCACAGTTACAGGCTTGATACTACAGGAACATGTATTTGCACATCTACCCCACCACCACCCAAATCATGTACATGGACTTGGGAAACAGAGATCATACACTACCGCAGAAGAGTGTGTCACAGCGAGGTATATTAATCTTAAGAGATTCAGGTAGAAGCAGAGCTGCGTACGCAGGGATTCAGGATTCTGTCGTCAAACAGTAGTTTGCCAGATACATTTGTCACTGAGCATGCAAAAAAACTTTCTTTGCATGACTACCATCCTCGTTGCTGGATCCGATATCAGTCATGGTGGCCTAAGAGGAAATGAGCATGGTGCTAACGAAGTCCGTGTTTAAGAGAAGGTGAAACCTGCCCTGTGTGATAACATTCTGCTCTGACTTCATGCGTGGTTCCAGACATGCCCTGCAACCAACTAAAATCATGGAACCACATCCACAAAATAAAACTCTTTCTGGAATCACAGCCATAGCTGACACTTAGATATGATCCTTGTTTTCCAGAACAGTGGTGAATTAATTCAGCAGTTTATTCCCAAAGGGCTTTGACAGCCGGGACTTCACTGCCATTGATCTCCGGGGGGCAGTGTACGACATGGAAGAGGATAGCCAATTCAGAGAAACATTTCCAATTTCAGCCGGCTGTGAGTCAAGACATTTCAGTTCAGATCATTCCACAACTTCTGAAACCCAGGCAGGGACACCGTCCACTAGACCAGGTTGTGCTAAGCCCCGTCCAGCCTGGCCTTGAACAGTGCCAGGGATGGGACATGTGTTTTTAGATAGGCACACACCCCCCGACCTAACCGCTTCCAGCAGCAGACAAACAAACACGGACACAAACATGGACTGGAAATGAAACCCTCTCTGCCGCTTTACACCCACTCAGGAATAGCCCCAAACACGAGACAAAGTGCTGACGAACACACCATGGCATGTAACAACACCGCAGACCCCTCCCCTCCGCTCTAAGCTCGCGGACCCAACACAGCCGAGAGGCGGCGGAGCCAGCCCAGACTAGGACCAGGACCGGCGGAACCTCACCCTGAGCCAATCCCCTCATTTCCCCCCCCCGAACTTGGGACTGCTCTTGGGGCGGGCCTTGTGGGGCCCCCTCACGGCCTCCGCCATGGCCATACTCTGCAGCACCACCAAGCCGCAGCCACGGCTACTGCGGGCGGAAGCGGGGGAAGATTGACACCGCCCCCACCCGCTCCCCTCCAGTCAGCAGCGCGGTGGCTACGTGAAGCACGGAAGGACTCAGCACAGAACGCAGAGCTGGGAGCCGGAGCATGGCCGCCAGGCCTGGGTGAGGCAGGCCTCCTGTCAGGAGGGGAGCGGGCATGGGGTAGGCTCACATATAGGCTCAGATATGGGAAGGCCAGGTTCCTTTGTAAGGGTGTGGGGGGAGGTCGGATTATGCCATAGGATCCTGTGGGGAGTCCAGGCTCCTCCATAAGTGTTTGAGATGAGGATCGGCACTCCTAAAGGGCCTGTGGGGGAACAGAATACTTTATAAAGTGCTGTGTGGAGGCCAAGGTCTTCTATAGGAGCCTGGGAAGGAGATAAGTTCTCCTACTGAGAATCAGATGGGAGGCCAGGATCATCTCTAGGAACCGGAGAAGAATCCAAACTTCTCTATAAGGGAGTGGCCAGGCTTCCCCTAAAAGGACTGGCAGGGAGGCAAGGCTCATCTATAAGAGCCTAGGAGGAGGCCAGGTTCCCTTCTATGGACCTGTGGAGGGGCCAGGCTCTCCTGTAATGCCCCCGGGTGAAGGGGGGTGGGGAGGGTGTCTCCTCCATAAGAGTCTGGGGCAAGGCCAGGTGTCTGTGGGGAGGTCAAGCTGCTGCTACAGGGAATGCGAGGTAAGAAACCAAGCCCCTACTACTGAGGCTGGGCAGTGTGAGTTCTCTTCTTTCTACTTGTGCCGTAGCAGGACCCGGAAGTGCCACCGGAGCGGGGCAGCCTGTGCGCAGTGCCTGAGGCATCTCCAGCCACAGCAGGGCTCCAGTCTGAGCCTGGGGGACCAGGCATCACTGACCCTTTTGATCCCTACTCAGGTGCTCAGCTGCCCCAGGGAGCCACCGCTGGAGCCCAGGCCATGCCCCACTGGAGCAGAACTGATTTCAGCCAGTCCCCAGATGGATGAGTCCCTGCAGAGCTCAGTCCCTCCTCGCAGAAGACATTGTAGTCAAAGACCTAATGATCTTGAACAGGTAATGTCCACTCTCTTAGGCCTTGTACTTCGGCCTTGAGAAGACCCTTTATTATCAACATCATCTGCCATTTAGAATACCTGTGGGAAAGGTAAATTGTGCGTGGGTCAAGGCAGAGATGATCCTGACCAGGAGCCCATTACACATTACAGAGCTGGTGATCCCCTGAGCAGGCACAGGGCTGGTCTGCATTGCCCAAGCCCTGTGGCTGCAGGATGAGCTTTGCCACCTCATGGTAACGGGGTTCATGGGCAGCTCCTGCCTGATACTGACAAACCAGCTGCCTGGCCCTGCCTGTATCTGGAAATGCAGCAAGAAGTTTTCATGTGAACTTCCTTCATGACTAATGCTGCTCTCTTGTGATGCTTTATGTATTAGCTCATATCACCAAAACGGAAGAGCTCTAACTCCACCTGAGGGCACGATGCCCAGCATCTGAAGGGACATAAGATTTACATGCTACCTGTATCCCTCTTCTTATTTTGTCTTATTAAAGCAGCTGTGACCCATATGTCCCTGGGGGGGAGGCGGGATCTGTTCAGCTGGTTATCAGGGTCTCTTGATAGGCCCTTCACTTCTATGGGTGTCTGGGAGGAGGACAGATCCGTCTAGAGAGGCCTGTGAGGAAACTCAGCCTGACCGTAGGGGCCCCTGTGGAGGCTGAAGTCTTGGTGTGTTCTGTCCCAGAGCTGTTGTGGTATTGAGCAAGTAGGAAGTAAAGGCTGAGCAAGGATATGCTCTTGTAGGCTTCCTCCCAGGAGAAGGAACCTGAACATCCTAGGGTGCTTTGAAGGTGTACCAGCCCTAGCCTAGACAAAAATGTCAGTATGGCATCTTTCAGAAGAAAGATAGCCACCACACAAGTCTCAAAACTTAATCATAAAAGATGTGTGTGAGAACTAAGACTACAGCAGGGTCCTTCAGGAGAATATTTCTACACTTGGTCTTTCAGAAATGAAAATGGATAACCGATTCCTTGGCATGTGCCCTTTCCACAGTCCATTGTAATGCATGAGGAGAGATGTTTAAGCTCACTGCCATCTTCCCCTCATAAAGAAATACAGGAGAAGCTCCAGTGGTTTTTTGGCTTAGACATACACTGAAGTCACGCAGATTCAACTTGAAGAATATCATACAGCAGCAACTCCATTGTCCCAAACTTAAGGTACCTGGCACCAGGTTTAAACAGTTGAACTGTGTGCTGGTGCCCTTCTCCTCCGTCCCTGTGTTGTAAGGCACTGAGGACCTTCTTAAGCAATGCTGCACATGAGGATATGAGAGAGACCAGCAGCCCTGCAGCACACGAGATTCTGAATCAAAGCCGTGATCACGTGTATGGTAAGAAAAAAATAAGAACTTTGGGAGATATGGTCAGGAAATGAGTTTCAGGGCTACACCAGGGAAGATGCAAATCATCTTCCAGTATCAGCACTTAAACCTAAAGCACATCTACAGCTAAGCCAGACACATAGTGTATTGGTGGTGCACCTCTAAATGAGCTCCCTGAAAGACGTGGCCAAAATGAAACCTAAATTACAAGCTTAATCACCATTAATGAAGGACTTGAGAAACAGGGAAAAGCTTAACCTGAGATCTGAGTGGGGTATATATGCCCTAAACATTAGCCAGTTTCCCAAAGCATTGTGCAGCACTCCCCTCAGCACATGTGACTTCTTGGTTATCTCCAGCCTCTTTCAGATGGCTGCACTTTAAAAGAATTTCAAATCAAGAACTTCTTCTGACACAGATGGCCCCTGCGTCTGGGTCTATCGCTTAGATTCCTTTTCTTCCCCCGAGTGTGAACATGCCATATCTGTCCAAGCAGTTTGCTGATGTCAGGCACATATCTGTAATGGGCACTTTCTGAGTGTGCAGATAATTATCTCAGACCTCAAATACTTTGCTGAAACGGAGAAGCACTTCAGCTCTGTGTGGCTGCTGTGAGAAATCATTTGTAGCTAAAAATTTAAGCTCAAGGTAGACACAACAGTGAAGCAGCTCTTTATTAATGGTTTTGCGAAAAACGGGTGTCCTAGCAAGCAGGCACACACAGCAAAAGCAGAACTATGATTTGTATTTCCTATCCCGTCCACAAGTTACCTCCCTTGTTTCCCAGTTGGTTGGGTACTCCAAGGTTTACAGCCTATTCAGTGCTTATAACCTATGTGCTAACTGTCCTGCTTCTGTTTATACCTCCCCTTACTCAACGTTGTACACCTCTTCCTCTTATTTTCTAACCACATCATTATTAACCACATAATCCTTTTCCGGTTCTATTTTGCAAGTCTTTGGCAGACATGTGGTACCCCAACTTACTGTTTAACCAGCCTGCACCAGCTTAGTTTGTACATAGACAGTATTCATTTTAACCAAGGAGTATATCTTTCATCTAGAGGTGACATTGGCTTTAACCACAGAGTGTGTATTTTGACTTACTAGATCTCAACCCTTTGTTTCGTTCCCTTAGTAACTTAGCCCCAGCCCCAGTATTGAAAACTCTTAATATTACAAAGTCTTACTATTGATCTTGAAGCTCTAATATTGGAAAGCCTTAATATTGCAAAGCCCCATCTCCAGTTATGCGAAAACAACACTCTTTCTCTCACAATTCCCCCTTTCTCTTATGTATACTGGGTTTGGGTTTTCCACTTTCTATAAAGAATTACCTCATATGTAACTTTCAGTCTGGATAACGTAACTTCACAGTTTTGGTCTAAAGATAAGTCGTCCAGATCATCTTCAAATATTTGGTTCGTGGTGTTTTGTTTTTTTTTCGATCTAAAACATTTAGTCAGAGTAGGGTGATTGTCCCATGAGCATTTGTTTTGACAAACTTGTTTAAAGGAGTTGTACACATCTTCCTATGTACGGAATTATGTAGCACCCTATAGCTATTCAGACACCTGCTACTACAGTTATGGAAGTAAAAACTGTTACCACCATTGCTCTCCATTTCCCAAATCAGGATTCTAACCATCCTGTTAATGAAATACCTGTTCTCATATTTTCATCCAGTTCTTCTGCCAACGTAGTGAGGCCTTGAAAGGGCCTGGTTATGGCTCCATCTGGTGTTGTATTATTTGGAATAAATGTGCAACACGTATCCCCTACGATTACGCATACTCCTTATTCAGCTAATATATGTAAAACTATTCTATTTTCACTGTATATTTGACCCATTCTACCCAGGAATTTGTATTTCTGTATCCTGTTTCTATTCCAAACATCTACTTTAAAACTTTAATTGCAATTCCTTTTACTATCTTGGGATTATTTGTTGGAGCACCATGTCCCCACCGATGGAGGAATGGTAGTGTCCACAGGCTGGCCACATTCGTTCCTCTTTGGCTCCCAAGTCACTATTGTAAATCTAGCAATTGAATCCCCTCCTGTCACATCTGCTCCCAGGCCATGAACTTGGCTTATTACCCCTCCAGCACTTGCAATAGCACGTGTGTGGGACAACACTCTTAACACCCCACATTCAGATTCAAAGTGACCCTTAAACATCATAATTTTCCTTTTTAGAGATTTTCTCTAAGCACTGTGTGAGATCCACCCATTAAAGCCAGTTGTAAACCAAACATCACTCCACCCAGGAGAAGGTGATTCCCAGTACATTTGGAGGTAACAACACTATTTCTCTCACAGCTGGGAGTAACTGGAAACACCACCACACTGGCCAGACCAACAGTGTCTTCTGCCTGGAGAACCTACAAACAGGATCAACAGCACCTAGGGATGTAGTCGTCAACTGTGGCATAAGGAAGCTCACCTGAAACAGAGAGTACAAAAAGAGTTAGGTCTGCTTATGAGAAGTGCTCATTACGAGATTCTACACAGAACAGAAACACTGGCCACCTGTGTTAAAGGGATGGAAAGCAATGGTGAATGAGGCTGAAAGAGATGTCTTGATTCTATGATTTTCCGAACAACCAAGGCATTTTACCAAGTTCCATCACTAAAGTGCCCAAGGGAATTATATAGCTTCGCTATATAGCTTAATCTCCACAAATGCCTACATAGAGGGCTTTGATCAGAACTTCTCCTTAGTGAAAACATGTCTCCAAAGTCAGAGTCCAGCTTCCCAGGATCTTTCAGGGGGGACCAGACTTCACCTAAACCATTCCCTTTAGAGAGCTAAAGCTCATGATCTGATGGGGAAGAGCAAAACCAGAGATTTTCTGTGGAGCCAGAAACCCCATAAAGCAAGCAATTCTGGTGCGCTGGTCAGGGTGGTAGAGGTGCCCTCCTGCACATTAGAAAAGACAGAGCTGAGGATCTGCGTGGCTCTGGGACTCCCAGTGCCCTGGCTCAGTGCTCCCCAACTGCCCTCCAAGCGCTGATAGGAAGGCAAGAGTTTAGGGTAGCTTGGGCTTTACAGAGACCTGATACCAAGGCACGTCATGGTGGGCTGACATGAAGCCAGAGGGCACTGCGGAAATAGTTGATCCGCTCACACTCCTGGGTCTCAAAGAACTGAAACAACACAGACAAAACAGCCTTACCATCTGTAAGAAGAGAGCAAATACCACAACAAAGATCTCTGTCTATAGCAAGGAGCAGGTGATGTTGCTCTTCTGCAGGAAACATGGTAACCATGAGTCTGAATCATAGAACCAACTAGGTTGGAAAAGACCTCATCCAGAGAAGCCATCCCTTTACACAGCCACAGGAAGGCCTGCAGGACCCATGCGGAAGGGGTCACTCAGCACACCACTGTCCCTGGGGAGACGAAGACAGCTTCCTGAAGGCACTGCATGTTCCCTATGTATCCCACGGTCCTGCAGTCCCAGCTGACTTCTCTCCCACAGCTATGGAGCAATAAAAAAGCATTGGGGATCTATGAAAGCAAAGTGTCTTGACTCGTTTGTCTTCTCTCTCTTTCCTGCCCATCCCTTTTCCAAGCAGCTTTAAGCCCAAGTCTTTTGAAATGTGCTGTCTGGTATATCTCCATTTCATGCCTGAGCGACAGCCTTTCATCCCATGTGTACGTATGCACTTGTTATGACTTGCTGTTTGCAAGCTTGCAGTAGACATGTGATAAAACCTCAACCTCTGCACTTCCTGCCCATAGAATCACAGAATCATAGAATAGTTAGGGTTGGAAAGGACCTTAAAATCATCTAGTTCCAACCCTCCTGCCATGCAGAGGGACGCCTCGCATTAAACCATGCCACCCAAGACGGCGTCCAACCTGGCCTTGAACGCTGCCAGGGATGGAGAATTCACAACTTCCTTGGGCAACCCATTCCAGGGCCTTACTATCTTCACAGTAAAGAACTTCTTCCTCATATCCAACATAAGCTTCTCCTGTTTAAGTTTGAAGCCATTACCCCTTGTCCTATCACCAGAGTCCCTAACGAAGAGTCCCCTCCCCAGCATCCCTGTAGGCGTCTTTCAGGTACTGGAAGCTGCTAGGAAGTCTCCACGAAGCCTTCTCCAAGACGAACAGCCGCAACTTTCTCAGCGTGTCTTCATATGGGAGGTACTCCAGCCCCCTTGTCATCCTCGTGGCCTTCCTCTGGACTAGCCCCAACAACTCCACGTCGTTTTCATATTGAGGACACCAAAACTGTACTCAATACTAAAAGTGAGGTCTCATGAGAGCAGAGCAGAGGAGCCGCATCACCTCATTAAACACTTGGCTACATATGAGAGACAGCTTCAAGACACAGCTCAGCAGCAGAGCAGCATCATGGTCCTGTTGCAACCAGTTCTGGGTTTCCCTAGCACTTGCTGGAAGTCCTGACTAGACCATTTTGCTATGAGACAGTCTGCTTTAGACTGATGTATCTGCTCGGAGGGGTTCCCATGCTACCACGTGAGATATATGGTGAAGGGCTGCTGGCACACTGAGTTCACATGGCGATGGCTTCACCCAACCTGCATCCCCAGTGCGCCAGTACCTACTACTGCAAATTCATTTAAGGTCCTTCGGAGTCTGCTAGGTGGTGTCCTGGCTGTAGGACCCACTGTCCTTAAGCCACTGAGTACCTAGAAGTGACTACGGCTGTCCAGGATAATGGCCACACCAATCGTGCAAGCAGGTTAATGGGTAATAAGGTCACTACTTTGATTCTGTTACTTTGAAAAGGTAGTGTAAGCAAAAATAGAAAACAAAAAAAAATAGTGGAAACCTTAAAGTGGCGAGACCTTAAATACAGAAGCCAAGCCAAAGACACACACAGGGATAGGTGCAACATATTCTGCTGCTTCACTACCAGAGAACACAGAGAAGGCAGATCTGTGCCATCCTGGAACCCTGCAGTGAGGAGTAGACATCCAGAGGACCACACTGACACGTAAAGGCGTTTGGGTGCTTTTGCCTCACAAGCTTTGACGTTCCCTTTCTGTCATAGAATCATAGAATAGTTAGGGTTGGAAAGGACCTTAAGATAATCTAGTTCCAACCCCCCTGCCATGGGCAGGGACACCTTGCTCTAAACGATATTACCAAAGGCCTCCTGCAACCTGGCGTTGAACACTGCAAGGGATGAAGCATTCACAACCACCCTGGACAACCTATTCCAGTGCCTCACCACCCTCACAGGAAAGAATTTCCTCCTTATACCCAATCTGAACTTCCCCTGTTTAAGTTTGAACCCATTACCCCTTGCTCTATCACTAAAGACCCTACTGAAGAGTCCATCCCCAGGATTCCTATAGGCCCCCTTCAGATACTGGAAGGCTGCTATGAGGTCTCGATGCAGCCTTCTCTTCTCCAGGCTGAACAACCCCAACTTTCTCAGCCTATCTTCATATGGGAGGTGCTCCAGTCCGTTAATTCTCATGGCCCTCCTCTGGAATTGTTCCAACAGTTCCATGTCCTTTTTACGTTGAGGACACCAGAACTGTACACAATACTCCAAGTGAGGTCTCACGAGAGCAGAACAAAGGGGCAGGAGCACATCCTTCAACCTGCTGGTAACCCTCCTTTTGATGTATCCCAGGATACGGTTGGCTTTCTGGGCTGCAAGTGCACACTGCTGGCGCATGTTCATTTTTTCATCGACCAGCACCCCCAAGTCCTTCTCCTTGGGCTGCTCTGAATCTCTTCTCTGCCCAGCCTGTAGCTGTGCCTGGGATTGCTCTGACCCAGGTGTAGGACCTTGCACTTGGCATGGTTAAACTTCATGAGGTTGGCATCAGCCCACCTCACAAGCGTGTCAAGGTCCCTCTGGATGGCATTCCTTCCCTCCAGCGTATCAACCAAACCACACAGCTTGGTGTCATCGGCAAACTTGCTGAGGGCGCACTCAATCCCACTGTCCATGTCAGCGATGAAGATGTTAAACAAGACCGGTCCCAACACCGATCCCTGAGGGACACCACTCATTACTGGTCTCCAGCTGGACATTGAGCCATTGACCACAACTCTTTGTTTGTGGCCCTCCAGCCAGTTCTTTATCCACCGAGTGGTCCATTCATCAAATTGATGTCTCTCCAATTTAGAGACAAGGATGTCGTGTGGGACAGTGTCGAACGCTTTACACAAGTCCAGGTAGATGACATCAACTGCTCTACCGCTGTCCATCAGTTCTGTAGCCCCATCATAGAAGGCCACCAAATTGGTCAGGCAGGATTTCCCCTTAGTGAAGCCATGCTGGCTGTCACCAAGCACCTTGTTGTTTTTCATGTGCCTTAGCATGCCTTCCAGGAGAATCTGCTCCAAGATTTTGCCAGGCACAGAGGTGAGACTGACTGGTCTGTAATTCCCCGGGTCATCCATTTCCCTCTTCTTGAAAATGGGGGTTATATTTTCCTTTTTCCAGTCATCGGGAACTTCACCTGACTGCCATAATTTTTCAAATATGATGGCCAGCAGCTTAGCAACCTCATTTGCCAGCTCCTTCGAGACCCGTAGATGGATTTCAGCAGGACCTATGAACTTGTGCACGTTCAGATTTTTAAGATGGCCTCGAACCAATTCCTCCCCTACAGTGGGCTTACGGTCTCCATTCCCACAGTCCCTGCATCTGCCTTCCAAGACTTGGGTAGTGCGGTCAGAGCCTTTGCTAGAGAAGACTGAGGCAAAGAAGTCATTCATAACCTCAGCCTCCTCCAAATCCTGTGTAGCTAGTTCACCCGAGAGCGTCCTGAGGGGGCCTACGTTCTCCCTAATCAGTTTTTTTATTTGCTATGTACCCGTAGAATCCCTTCCTGTTATCCTTAATGTCCCTAGCCAAGTTTAATTCTGACTGGGCCTTAGCTTTCCTAACCTGGTCCCTAGCTTCCCAGACAATAACCCTGTACTCCTTCCTGGCCACCTGTCCTTGCTTTGACTTTCTATAAAGCTCTTTTTTCATTTGAATTTTCCTCAGGAGCTCCTTATCCATCCAAGGAGGTCTCCTGGCCCTCCTGCTGCACTTCCTTCTAGTTGGGATGCAACACTCCTGGGCTTGTATCAGGTGATCCTTGAAGACCAACCAAGAGTCTTGAGCCCCCCTGCCCTCTAGGGCTATATCCCATGGAACCTTACTAATCAGGTTCCTGAAGAGGGTGAAGTCTGCTTTTTTGAAGTGTAGGGCAGTGAGCTTGCTGCACGCTCTTCTCACTGTCCTAAGGATCTCAAATTCAACCATCTCGTGGTCGCTGCATCCAAGGCTGCCCTGCAGTGCCACATTTCCAGCGAGTCCTTCGCTGCTGGTGAGCACAAGGTCAAGCATGGCACCTCTCCTTGTAGGTTCCTCTATTACTTGAAGGAGGAAGTTGTCTTCCACACAATCAAGGAACCTCCTGGATTGCTTGTGCCAAATGGGGCACTGCTGGGATTCTCCC